CAAAGTAATTGGCATAAAAAGACCTGCTTCCTTTACTCACACTTTTGAAAAATTAAATAACTGTTTTAGGTACTCTGAATAAAGCTATTTTGTCAAAATTAAGGTAACAATCTTATATATATTTATTTAATTGTAATATAGATATAAGTATAAATTACAAAATTATTTAAAAAAATATCTATTATATTGAATCGGAAGAGAATTATAACAATGTAAAATTTACAATTAGGCAAAAAATCAAACGTAGGTTAGCAGATATGTTGCCATATATGTCATATATGTTTAAACCTATGTCAATGTAAAGTTGTATTTTGAGTAAATTTAAATAGCTGCTATTATAGTTATCTTAGAAGCAGTATAAAAATTCTCTCAGTTAGCATGCAAATAAAGAAATGATTAGAAATAAACGTGCATTAAAAAAAAAAAAACCTGCAAATAAAAATTAAAAAAAAAAAAAAAAAAAACACGGAACTTTATGTTAAAAGAGTAGCACATTTTATATATCATTTTAAAATTGAGTAAGCATTATTAAATTTTTTAATGGTTCAGTCTAAAATGCATAAATAAAGCAGTAACATTGCCTCTTCCAAATTATAGCTATCTTTCACACACAGCTCATTTTAAACGCTGGTTCAAAAATGCTAATTTCCAAGCTGTGAATTATATTGGCGCGCTCAGTGTCATCATGGCTACGTCATCACTTCTCACTTTCTGCTTCAGGGGGAAAAGCTCTATGAGCTAGCCCTTCTCTTCTAAGTCCTGCCTAAAAACAAAATTGAAATGTAAGTACTTTACACTCCTTTTCCTTTTTACAATTTTGGTATTTCTAGCAATAACAGGTACAATTTTTTTTTTTATTTATTTATTTTTAAAGCATCCCAACATCACAGGAAAACAATTTTATTTTATTTTTCTTGTTTTAGAAATAGCTTATTGTTATGCAAGTTAAAATTTAGTAGTCTATATAATTAAGCTTCATTTTTATATAATTTTGTTTTTAGGACTAATTCATGCATTTTTGTTATTCAATGGAACAACATTTTTGAATATTTCATGAACAGTTTTTTTTTTTTTTTTTTTTTTTTTTTTTTTTTTTTACCATTCTGCATTTCAATTAGTTTGTTTATGAACAGGCTTTTATTATTTGTTTTAACTAGTAAGGTGCCAATTCTTATCATTATATTATTTATCAGAAATATTATTTAGCAATTTTAGACAACTGGTTAGCGATGATTTGAGTCTCATAATGGTAGGAAGACTGCATTAATTATCCAAGTTTAATGTTTTAAAATACTAATCCATGAAAAGTTCTATTTGAAGGATCAAGCAGAGGGGGATTAATAGTTTGTTTCTCCCATTTATATTTTTTACAAAATTTTATTACCTATTTCCAATTACCTTTTTAAGATTTTTTGTTCTAGCTTTAATATTTATTCTAAGAGTATAATAATTTTGCATTTCACTACCATGAGGCAATATTAATACCGTAAACAATTTTTCCTAGGATGGAATAATCTTTTTAATAAAAAATTTTAACAAAAATTCTTACAATAATTTCTTAAAAATTAAATCTTTTGTAGCTCAAGTGCAAGAATTAATTCATTATTTTTCCTCCCCCTTTTTTACCTAATTTATTTTTTCATTTTCTCATCTTGTTCTCTCTTTATTGTGATATGTTAAGAAAAACTCCGTCAGTTGTCAAGAAGTGAGAAAAAGCAATATAATTTTATTATGAAATCCCAAATGAAAGCAATAAATGTCATATAAATTTAAGCAATATGTTCTAACTTTAAGGAAATAATTTGTTTTTTTAATAAAGATGCACTAGAGATGAGTTTATTTGTAACATATATTTCTGTTATTCTAATGTTTGCAAAGGAATAAAATATGAACTACCAGAAAAAAGGTATGTTAGAGATATTTTGTTGTTTTAATGATGGAAAATTTTCATGGAAGTTATGTGCATACATAATTTTAAAAAGTCATTAGTCTACCAAAGTTTGTGAGATCATTTTGCTACGTAAACTGCCTACTAGATCTACTTGACTGTTACCCTTGCAACTTCTTGCACAGGTGTAAAGATAAACACAACCACAACAAGGAAAGGGTGTAAAAGACCCTTTTATTTATCACAAACTAGTTAACAGAGGATATGGACTTACGTTCTTACAACCAAAACACTGACAACTCGGGAGGGGAACTTAAGCAAAAATGTAACAATAAATTTAAAAAATAAGAATTTAAAGGTAATGATTCAGACACCTACATCGGCAATATACTAACTAGATGAACAGAATGCATAACTGCTACTAATAGTAATGGCTGGTAGAAACTAACAAATGAGTGCTCACCAATATGAAATCTCACTTTAACATTTTCGTTCCAACAGTTTAAATACTCTCGTTCACCTACTTCATTTACGTCCTGGCAAAGAAATGCGAGGGGAAATAAGAGAATTCAGGAAATTTAATTCACAAATTAAAATAAATATTAGTAAAACTAAATAGGTCTCTACAAGATGCATTACAAATTAAATTGTGTTCTGTATATGAAAGGAATGTACATTTGAGCCATATCTTGCCTATTATATGATTGTTGTGTTGAATAATAATTATATGTAATGATACAGTTTTAAACTACAGATGTAATGACATTATCTGTCATTTATAATAACATGTTACATTGCTGGCAATTCACCTGGTTTTTCCTGGGAGACTCCCAGTTTTTTGTCACAACTTCCGATCTCTCAACAGATGAGGGTTTTTTAAACTTTTTTCAGTGACAACCACTTTTTATCATTGATATTTTTTGCGACCCCCAGGACCCCCATAATATGTACAAAAATTTTGTGGGACCCCATAACTATTGTGCAAATCCGACACACACGTGAGTGAAATTGTCAGATTTTCACTTGTACTGCAGTCTTAGGTCATTAACCTTAATTTCTAGTTTTAAAACATAGAACAATGTGAAAACTTTAAACAAGTAACAGATGAAATGATGGCATTACGTGCACAGCAAGGAAAATGAACGTTTAAATTATAAAAAGAATGCGTCGAAACGTTTTTGTTCTTTTCTTTGTCTGTATCTTTATCTATTTTCAGATATATTGTGTAAAAATATTTGGTAATTGTAAAATTATTATAATAAGTTAGAGAAATATCAAAACTTCTAAAATTTTGCTAACCCCCTGCTGCAGGTCCCACGACCCCCAAGGGGGTCGTAACCTACAGTTTAAGAAACCCTGCGATAGATCATAAACCTCCTGGTTTTTAATATTTCACATTTGGTAAAGAAGGTGCTATTCAGCAATAAATCAAATTGTTTTTAATTAACAAATTTCATTTCTTATCCACAGTGATTTTTGATATAAATTTTATTTTATTTGAATAGCCTTAATCTGATGTAGTCATTTGTTAAATTTCATAGGAAAATTGAATCAGTGTTTAATGAGCTGTTATTTGTATTTAATTTTCTTTTACATCAATATAAAGAATGCAAATTTATCTATAAATTACTATTATTAAAACAAGCACAAAATAGTACACTAATTATTAATTTACTTTCGTGTCTGAAAATATTTTGATAAAGCTTTCCTTCCCTCCTCAGAATTTTCTCAGTATGAAACTAAACAAATTACTGAATGAAATTTGTCAAAGAACATAAGATGTAGAATATCATAATTAAATATTTATATAGTTATGTCAAAATCATTTCTACTATTAAATAATGAATTTGTATGTTTGTATGTTCCTTGCCTTGTGGAATAATGTGCATCTAGAATCATCAAATTTTGATCAGACATAGTACACCACCTCAATATATGTATCTTGAAGCCTGACTTCTGATTTTTCTTTTTTAATATCATATTTTGGGCAAATTTGTTGAACTTTTAATTGAGAGTTCAGTAATTTAAGAGCTCTCCACACTTGTGGAATGCCTCTCTGTAGTGCCACTCCACAAGGTATAAGAGATATTTATATTTCAAATTTAATCAGAAAAGTAAAAAATGTAGTACAAAAATGTTGCCATTGGGCAGAATGCAATATATTTGTCTTTCAGTTTTAACTGCATTGTGGAGAAATAGTGGCACCTACAAAAACTAAATTTTGAACACACATACACTTTCCTCTGAAAATGGGAACCTTAAAGCCCAAATTTTGAATTTCAAATTTGTTTTATATTTTAGGTGAACTTAAGAAACTTTTGAATAAAAACTCAGCTGTGTAAAAACTTTGTGTCACCATTCTGCAAAGTGTAAAATAGTTGTATTTCAAATTGAACCAGAAAACTCAGTAATGTTAAAGAAGTGTACTGCTACTAGGGAAAATGCAATATATTTGTCTCAGATTTACTCAAAGAACTTCAGGATTTAAATGAAATGTGTCGCCCTTGCCCAAATTAAAATATTTTCACTTTCTATGTAGCATTGTTCAAATTTTGCATATCCCTTCTACAGAACATCAAGCAATAGAGTATTTTCAAAGTTGCAGGACTAGTTATATTGATGACATACTCATAACATTAAAAGACCATGAAGTTTGTGAAAATGGTACTATAAAAGACATCACAGAAAAGTGCATCATCACTTACGTTAGTACTCAGGTGAATTTATGTGGCATCAGGTTTGTAATGAAGGTGACGGTTTTGTTATTTTATACTTCATTCAGGATTTTTCAGTATTAGAATGACCGGTATTAATTATAATAAATTTAGATGATCTCAAAGCCTGATCCACTTATTTAAATTTTAATACAAAATATTTGTGTCTGTTAATTATCTAATTAAATAAAGAATAATCTGTGATTATCTAACTAAATAAAGAGTAGTCTGTTATAATCTACACAAGCCGTCATCTCAAAATGTGTGGATAATCGGAAATCTGTTGTATCTCCCATGTAATACATTTATTGATTATCATCAAAAGTTAAGAATTTTTGCATGTATTCTTTTTGTTTTCACTGGCATTTTCTGCTTGAAATAATTTAAATTTTTTTCAGGGGATTTTGTTGTTATTGATCCTATTACTGAAGGTGTGAAAGTGAAAGGAGAAATAGCTCAGATTCTGCTTAAGGATCAAATAAAATATTTTAAAGACCAAGGTATATGGTATGTAATCATTTATGTGTATTTTTAGTTTGTGTATCATATGCAGTGTCTATGATTATTTTAATAAAAAATTAATATGCTTACGTCTAAATGTCTTACTCATGATTGTATGAGGTCTAGATAATCAAATTTGTGTTGATACTACAATCTCTGTGTTTTAAAAGGATAGTTATTCTATCTCTGTGTTATGAAAACTTCCTATTTAAATGACTTGAAAGTGATATTATGTTCACTACAATAAGTACATGCAAGGGTATTAAAATCTCTTCTGCTATTACTCTCTGAGGAATATTTGCACTTTGGTTTAATATAAACTCAGATTACACAGCTTGTAAGTTTAAAAACTGAAAGCTGGCTTTTAGCAGTCATTAAATATATATCATGAATCGTAGACTTAGTACAGTACAAAGTCCGAGATCCGGACTCTCTCATCAGGACCTCAGCAATTCTGGATTTGGTATTTTCTCAGATATTAGGTCATCGGTTTAAATCTAGTATGTCATGTAAAAATTATAAAATTAAAAATTTGAAATCCTGATTTATGAAATAATGAAGCATTTAGGATCTAAAGAAGGTATCAAAATTTACAAAAAAAATGGTTACTATTTATTTGTTTATTTTATTGAAAATTTCTTTCAATGTAAGTTGTTTAAGTTGCTTAATTTTTTGTGCTAATACTTTCTCTTTAATTTTATAGACATATATAATTTCTTGTTCAGTTACAAAGTTCCTTTCTTCAGGTTCTGTAATTGCTGTGTTGAGAATTCCAATTAATTTGTGAATTGAATTTTTTTCGTTTTCAGTAACCTTTCTGTCATTTTCTTCACTATTGGTAGATTTCTGGATCTAGAACCATACTACAGATTTTGCTATCCGTTGGTTGATGATTGGGGCATTGTCATCACAATGAAAAACTTCTGTTATATTATCTTTATTTATTACAGCTTCTCTATATTTCTTTACAAAATCCATTAATTGTAAAATTTCACCTTCGGTTTGCAATATCCAAATACTTTCGAATTCGTGACTTCTTCTTCATCCTCACCATGAAATTGGTAGCTGGCCATAAATTACAACAAGCATTTTCTAAAGTATCTGGAGATGCACCCATGATTTCACGATGCTCCACACAGCAGATTTTATGCTAATTTTTTTCAAAAATTCTTGAATAGTCTTGCCATTATTCAATAAATTTAACATGGACTTTAAGAGTACTACTTTATATTTGCATTTCAGCATGCCCCCTCTTCCGACATCCATAGGCTGAATGATGGCTATGCAATTTTCAAGAAAGAATAATACAGATACATTATCTATTACTAAAAATTTAAATGAAGTATGAGCCATATAGTTGTCTAGAATCAGGACAATTTTTGCATCATCAGGTAAATCAAATGTATTCAAATGTTGCTGAGCCTCGAGTATGAAACAATTTTCAAAGTAATCATTTATTAATGCTTGTGTCATCTATGCTCTTTTATTTGCACGATATATAATGGGGAAAATATTTACTCCTTTAAGTGCTCGAGGCCATATATTTTTTTCGATTATGAAAAGTTTACACTTGTGTGTTCGTTCAAGATTTGCATATGCTTAAAATTGTTAGTTTCGCTTTGGAATCTTTGACACCAGTTGGAGCCTTTTCTGTACAGATTGTTAAGGTATTTCAAAGTACATATTGTCAGAAAAGACCATTTTTATCAGTGTTGTAAAGTTGTTCTGGAGATAATTTATCACTATTAGTGAGTTCAATGAATTCATCTGCAAATAGTTCAGCTTTTTCACCTGAAATTTTTAATTGCCTTATACCATGGTTAATTTAAATTTAGTTAACCAACCTGTCGAATATGTGCACTCAATTTTTAAGTTCCTTTCTTCATGAAATATTTTGCTTGAGCCAATAGCATCAGACCCGTCAACGGCATGTCCTCGCTGCGACATTGCCTGATTCATTCAATCATATGATCATCACTTTTAGCATAAGTAATCATTTTTCTATTATTCATTACGAGTAGGGTGTCAGAATCCACAAAAAGTTCCTTTTTCTGTTTTTGTATGTTATACCAGGGTTCGTACGGTCCTTAAGAGTCCTTAAAAGTCCTTAGAATTTTTGAAATCGATTTTTGGTCCTTAAAAGTCCTTAATTTTGGCCAAAATCAGCAGAAGGTCCTTAATTTTATTCATCTGAAATTTCTGTCTCTTTTTACGACTGTCATTTTGAGTGTGAATTAGCATTTTGAGGAATATTTTTGGCGATTCACTGCCGTATATATGGTTATCTTTTGAATGGGTTCATGAGTTATAATTTGTTTCTATTTCTAATATAAATGATGCAATACTTGAGTTTTTAAGCAAGAAGTGAAACATAAGCATTTCGAAATTGATTTTTTCTAGTAAAGAGCTCTTAAACAACTTTTTGCTTTTGGGGATGTGAATTCTTTTATTAAACAATCCTAAATTTGGCGACTTTTCAACATTTTGGCGATTTTAAGATTAGTTTCTATAGAAACTTTTTAATTCCGAGATCTGAGAATTTTTCGACGATTTTTTTTTAAACATCGTAACATTGATAAATTTCATTAAAATAATGGTAATATAGTGAAATTATATTTAACAAATAACATTAAAATAAAACATTTTATTTTTTGCTGTCATTTTATAAAGTTTCATTTTGGCAACTTATTATACAATATTTTAAATCTGAAAAATAAACAAGGTATAATGCTATAAAGCACAATTTACGAAAAACTCTTAGCAAAAGAAAAATTAGCTATGTAATTAATTAAAAATGTCTTGTTTTTAATTTTTTCATAGTAAGAGTTTTTCCCAAGTTGTTGATTTTCCGATGATAATCCTATATGCTATATCTGACTTCGAATCTAAAATTTTCTGAAGAACACAAAAACCTTGTCTAAAACTTAAAGGTTTATTTAACTGGAACTTCAACACAGATGAAAACTTAACATCACAAACAAAAACTTAACATCTTGGGTGGAAAAACTTCAAAGTGCTTTAAAGTAACAGCTATACCGGCACGGTGAAGAACACTTTCATTCAAAGACAGAATCCATCTAGCCCTTTCGACGTATATCTCCATTCCGCTGAATTCAGACATCCGCTCCTACGTGTTTTGGACTTAAACGGCCAGGCTGGAACTGGAATAGGACTGGATCAGGACCGGAACTGGACTGGAACAAGACGGGAACCGGAACAGGGCGGAAACCGGAATCTCTCATCCCCTGGCTTCTCCCCGGGCAGGTCTATTCTGGCTCGAACTAAAAGGAACTGCGGTGCCACTAAGGAAAGCACCTCCTTTTATTGCCGGCGGTTGCCGTTACTACAGGCGACTTATGCAAATATTTAACATCCTTCCACCTAAGGGAAAAAAAAAGAAAAAGAAAAAAAGTGAACTTTCACAATCAAAGTAAAACAAATGCTAAAGAGCCTTAATTAATATGCCAGTCTGTCTGTCCGGCGGAGTTACAGTTCTACCAGATCGTGTTACAGGCCTGACAGATTTATCATCTATGTTGAGTTTAAGTTCAGACAAGAATCTTGTTTTTCATTCTGCAGCTTCACGGGTACATCATTTTGCGCTTACCTCTAAAGGATACAAGAGTTTGAACTGCTCTAAGCAAAATTCCATTTCGGTCTTTACTCTTGCAAGTCGATTTATTCCATCAGGTCCTGGAAGTAGTTCTATGACACGACCAAGTTGCCAAAAAAGTCTTTTGTCACTACTACCGATCAAAACAATGTCATCTAATTTAATAGTAGTAACTTTCCTTTCAGCTCTTTTATGCGAAACCTTGAGAATCCCCAAATATTCTTTACGAAATCTATTTTTAAATGCTTCTCGTACAGTTTGAATATACTGAAATCTTCTGTGTAAATTACTTGATTTAATACCGTATTTTATATCCCGCAAACTACTAGTTCTAATTTCTTTTAAAAAGTCGGCAGGAGTTAAAGCTTTAAATTCAGGATCGGAAGGAATTACTGTCAACGGTTGGTCATTAAGAATCGCTTCACAGTCACACAGTATCGTGTACATTTCTTCATAATTTAAACAAGCATGTTTAAGAACTTTTTTAAGGACTTGCTTCATCATTCCGATCAGACGTTCCCACCAACCACCCCACCATGGAGCACCAGGGGGAATAAATTTCCATGTTATCCGCTCATTGGCTGCCTGCCGATTAATTTGTTCAAAATCTATTAATTTAAATGCATTTGAAGCTCCTACAAAATTAGTTCCATTATCACTGTACACAGTTGTGGGTTTACCTCTTCGTGACACGAACCGATGAAAAGCCTGAAGAAACACTTCTGTAGATAGAGAAGTCAGCAACTCCAAATGGACCGCTCTATAAACGGCGCATGTAAAAACACAAATCCATGCCTTTTCTTTGTTTCTCAACAATAAAGGACCACAAAGGTCTATACCCGTTACTTGAAATACTGCTGAATCATTTACTCGCTCTATTGGCGGTGGGGCTGATATGTGGTCAACAGGTGCAGCAGAATATCTCTTGCAAGTAATGCATTTACTCAAAACAGAACGCACTGTTCTTCTGCCAGATAACAACCAAAACCTTTCCCTTAAGGTATTCAGTATATATTGTACACCTGCATGTCCTTTCTTTTTATGTTCTTCCATAATTAAATTCCTAACTAATGGATGTTCTCCTGGTAATATAGGTGTTCTAAACTCTAACGTGTCATCTCTTCGAAACGCACCAGTTTTAATTCTTAGAATTCCCGCATCATAAAATGGACTAAGAGTTCGTAAGCGTGCGTCTTCTATATCCTGAAACGATTCCGATTGAATCAAGCGAATAACAACCTTTTCTGCAAAATCAATTTCATCAACAGTGAGTTTCACCTTTCCTTTTTTTCTTATTTCTGCAATTAAAGAAAAATCGTTGAATCCAACCAACAACTCTAACTGTTTTTCGATAGCTAGAAAATCGCTCACTCAAACTAAACCTTTCAGTAGA